GTAAAACGTCAAAGGGGGGGAGCGTGACGTCTGTGTGTTCAGCTGAAGACTCATTTAGCATCAACAACATTAATTAACTTCATCACATTAATTCTGGTGTGTGTGTGTGTTTCAGGACACGCCGATCGTCCTGAACAGGAAGAAGAAGTTTGGGAGTCGCGGGGCGGCAGATTTCAACGCTGACTTTGAGTTTGGAGAGAGAGACGTGCTGGACCAGGACGAGGACTGGGTGATGGCTGACGTCATGAAACAGCTCAAGAACAAGGTAGAACCTGCAGCAGTGTGCTGGTTAAGTCATTGCTTTAGTTCACATCAGGCGGGTCCTGGCCCGGTTTAGGTTCCACTTTATTTGTCCAGCACATTTTAATAACAAGGCAGGTCAGAGTGCTTTAAATGAAACACCTGAACGACACGAAGCAGCGAAACAGAAGAGTTACAGAGAAAATGGAAGAGATGTAATCAAACTGGATTTAATAAAAGCACAAAGTCTTTAGTCCTGATTTAAAGAACTGAGAATTTGAGCAGAGCTGCTAGTGCTAGTGCTGCTGCTGCTCTTGGTGGCAACTGTTGGGCTTCATGGCTTCAAGTCCATCATACAGTTTAATGCAACCCCTGAGTCTCAGTCTCATCAGCTGTTCTGCTCAGTTCACACTTTCTTGGTCACCAGCATGCGGCCCCTGGCGGGAGTTACATGTCTAAAGATACTGAACTCTAAAAATGGCTTCCTGTCCAAGATGTTATGTTAGGGGTGAAAACGATTTCTAATGGAAAATAACGATGGCGGCCTCACCATATTTTAGAGAACTTGTTTTTTGGTCTCAAATGGCATGTGGACATGGTTTGAAGAAAATGACTACAGAATGACCCAGGAGTGTTTTGGTTCTGTAACATTCTCCTGCAGTGTTTTTAACTGTGTTCTGTGTTTGCAGAGAACTGCAACTACTCTGGATCAGAAAATAGAGAAAATCCGGAAGAAGAGGAAAGCTGAGGTGAGTCCACTGTAACGTTCTACTTCCTGTCTTGTCCGGTTCCACGTCCTGTGTTTTAATCGGGATTTGGTTTTGATCTGCAGGAGAAATCCGCTCAGAGTGATGCTGCTGAAGGTTCTGCAGGGAAGAACCAGGAGGAGGAAGACGAGGAAGATGTGAAGCCTCCTGCAGGAGAGGCTGATGGAGGTGATGAGGAGGATGAAGAAGATGAAGATGAGTTTGACTCGGCTGATGAGGAGATTCTGACCAAATCAGGTTAGTTCAGCAGAACCTCATCAGTTTGTGTGGAGCAGATTCAGTACGTAGCCCTGCTGTGGATCCTGGGACCATGATCAGGGAAGGGCCGCAGTCCGGCGCCACTTCCACGACCATCAGAAGTCCCAAACATTGTGCCAAAACAGAACAGCAGCACTGATGTTTCGTTACAGTTCAGTCGGATCAGTTAGTTTCCAGCTCAAATAACAGGCTGACGTGTGCAGTACCTCTTTAAGGTAGACAGATCTATAAATATTTATTATATTCAAGATATTCCTGCAGTTCAGTTGGTGAGAAAGACTGAGATCTATAAATATGAAACATGAAACTACATGCCTAGTAATAGTAAAGTAGAGTAGTAACAGTAGAGCAGAGTAAGTAGTAACGGAGTAGTAACAGTAGAGCAGAGTAGAAACAGTAGAACAGAGTAAGTACTAACGGAGTAGTAACGGTAGAGTGGAATAGTAACGGTAGAGTAGAGTAAGTAGTAATGGAGTAGATGGAGTAGAGTAAATAGTAATGGAGTAGATGGAGTAGAGTAAATAGTAACGGAGTAGATGGAGTAGAGTAGAAACGGTAACGACAGAGTAGTTACGGTAGAGCAGAGTAGAGTAGTAACGGTAAAGTAGTAAGAGTAGAATAGTAACGGTAGAGTAATGAGCAGAGTAGAGTAAGTAGTAATGGAGTAGAGTAAATAGTAACGGAGTAGATGGAGTAGAGTATAAACGGTAACGGCAGAGTAGTAACGGTAGAGTAGTAACGGTAAAATAGTAACAGTAGAGCAGAGTAGAGTAGTAACGGTAGAGTAGAGTAGTAACGGTAAAATAGTAACTGTAGAGTAGTAACGGTAAAATAGTAACGGTAGAGCAGAGTAGAGTAGTAACGGTAAAATAGTAACTGTAGAGTAGTAACGGTAAAATAGTAACAGTAGAGCAGAGTAGAGTAGTAACGGTAGAGCAGAGTAGAGTACTAACGGTAAAATAGTAACTGTAGAGTAGGAACGGTAGAGCAGAGTAGAGTAGTAACGGTAGAGCAGAGTAGAGTAGTAACGGTAGAGTAGTAACGGTAGAGTAGTAACGGTAGAGTAGTAACGGTAGAGTAGTAACGGTAGAGTAGTAACGGTAGAGTAGTAACGGTAAAATAGTAACGGTAAAATAGTAACGGTAGAGCAGAGTAGAGTAGTAACGGTAGAGCAGAGTACAGTAGTAACGGTAAAATAGTAACTGTAGAGTAGTAACGGTAGAGCAGAGTAGAGTAGTAACGGTAGAGCAGAGTAGAGTAGTAGCAGTAAAATAGTAACTGTAGAGTAGTAACGGTAAGTTAGTAACGGTAGAGTAGTAACGGTAGAGCAGAGTAGAGTAGTAACGGTAGAGCAGAGTAGAGTAGTAGCAGTAAAATAGTAACGGTAGAGTAGTAACGGTAAAATAGTAACGGTAGAGCAGTAACGGTAGAGCAGAGTAGAGTAGTAACGGTAGAGCAGAGTACAGTAGTAACTGTAGAGTAGTAACGGTAGAGCAGAGTAGAGTAGTAGCAGTAAAATAGTAACGGTAGAGTAGATATTCCTGGAATTGAGTGTGTCAGGCTTATTGTAGACTGACTTCCTGTTTCCTGTCAGACACCCTGAGAGACAAAGAGCGACGCCGGAGGAAGAGGAAGGGCGAAGAGGAGGTGAGGAAAACGAGGTGATGCCATAGGTCGGGGGGCAGTTTGTACCTGGTTACCATGGTAACAGCGGTGTGTTTTCAGGCTCCGGAGACATTCTACGAAGACGCGTCTCAATACAACGATCAGCTGACCTTTGATGACATGAACCTGTCCCGACCCATCCTGAAGGTAACGTGACCTAACCCTAACCCTGACCCTGACCCCTCTGGGAGGAGGCTTCCACAGTCTGTTGGGTGGAGGCTTCCACAGTCTTCCTTTCTTGTTCTCTGGGGAAACTCCTACAGTTTCTCTACCCCTGTCCAGAATCCAGGAGCTGGTTCCAGAGGCAGTCCTATGTGTAGAAACCAAATACACCTGGTTTGTACCTTTCCGCCTCCTCTCCCCAGACTGGGTTCCTTCCCCACCACAGAGGAGACGTTCCTCCACTGTTCCCCTTCACTTAATTTACAGCATATCTGAGATATGCCCCCACCCCACCAGGTGCTCCATAGAGGGCCCCCCTCCCAACCCAGATCCAGCATGGAGCCTTGTTTTGTTTGTAACCTCCTGTTGTGTCCCTGCAGGCCGTCACAGCTCTGGGCTTCAAGCTGCCGACTCCCATCCAGAAGGCCTGTGTTCCTGTGGGCCTGCTGGGGAGAGACCTGTGTGCCTGCGCTGCTACTGGGACAGGTAACACAATTATACTGGGACAGGTAACACTGTTATACTGGGACAGGTAACGCTGACATACTGGGACCAATCTAAAATATTAGATCCAACCAGATTAATTAAATCATTCCTTTCAGGAAAGACTGCAGCCTTCATGTTGCCTGTGTTGGAGCGTTTGGTTTATAAGCCCAGGACGTCCCAGGTGACCCGGGTCTTGGTTCTGGTTCCTACCAGGGAGTTGGGGATCCAGGTTCACTCTGTGGCCCGTCAGCTCGCCCAGTTCACCTCCATCACCACCTGCCTGGCTGTTGGTATGACTGTTAACTGACTGACTCAGACTTCATTTTTTGTGTATGTGTATGTAAAAATATAGAGTATGGGCTCTGGACCCAGTCGTCGGGCTCTGGACCCAGTCTGGTCCTTGGGTGACCTGTTTTGTGTGTCCAGGTGGGTTGGACCTGAAGTCTCAGGAGGTGGCACTGAGGGCGGGGCCAGACATTCTGATAGCTACACCTGGTCGACTCATCGATCACCTTCACAACACGCCGAGCTTTGAGCTGACTCACATCGAGATCCTGATCCTGGACGAGGCTGACAGGTAAACACCTGTCGTCGAGGAGGCGTCACAGGAAAAGTACAAACTACCAATAAACACAGCCGGCAAGCAAAGACTCACCTGTTGGGGTCCATTTTGTGTCTGTTTGGTTCTCAGGATGTTGGACGAGTACTTTGAGGAGCAGATGAAAGAGATCATCCGGCTGTGTTCCTACAACAGACAGACCATGTTGTTCTCCGCCACCATGACGGAGGAGGTACTTATTCATACCTGTGTTTCACTGGATCATGTGACCTCTTTATCCAGGTGTTTCACTGTGTTTCATGTCTGTCTCCAGGTAAAGGACCTGGCCGCAGTCTCGTTGAAGCAGCCAATCAGAATCTTTGTTAACAGCAACACTGATGTGGCTCCGTTTCTCCGACAAGAGTTTGTTCGAATCCGACCAAACAGAGAGGGAGACAGAGAGGCTGTGGTGGCCGGTAGGTCCTGAAAATACTGCAGTACTACTACTGCCTTACCAGTGCTAAAAATGTGGTACTACTTCTACTGCAGTAGTAAGAGTGACTGCTGTGTTTTGTTTCAGCTCTGCTTACTCGGACGTTCCAGGATCACGTAATGTGTTTCACTCAGACCAGGAAGCAGGCTCACAGACTGCACATCTTACTGGGACTGATGGGACTGAAGGTTGGAGAACTGCACGGAGAACTGAGCCAGAACCAGAGGCTGGAGAACCTCAGGTACACAAACACACAGAACCAGAGACTGGAGAATCTCATATACACACACACATACTGAACCAGAGACTGGAGAATCTCATATACACACACACATACTGAACCAGAGACTGGAGAATCTCATGTACACACAGAACCAGAGAATGGAGAACCTCAGGTACACAAACACACAGAACCAGAGACTGGAGAATCTCATATACACACACACATACTGAACCAGAGACTGGAGAATCTCATGTACACACAGAACCAGAGAATGGAGAACCTCAGGTACACAAACACACAGAACCAGAGACTGGAGAATCTCATATACACACACACATACTGAACCAGAGACTGGAGAATCTCATGTACACACAGAACCAGAGACTGGAGAACCTCAGGTACACAAACACACAGAACCAGAGACTGGAGAATCTCATATACACACACACATACTGAACCAGAGACTGGAGAACCTCAGGTACACAAACACACACACACACAGAACCAGAGACTGGAGAACCTCATATACAGACACACATACTGAACCAGAGGCCGGAGAACCTCAGGTACACAAACACACACACACACAGAACCAGAGACTGGAGAATCTCATATACACACACACATACTGAACCAGAGACTGGAGAACCTCAGGTACACACAGAACCAGAGACTGGAGAATCTCATATACACACACACATACTGAACCAGAGACTGGAGAATCTCATATACACACACACATACTGAACCAGAGAATGGAGAACCTCAGGTACACAAACACACAGAACCAGAGACTGGAGAACCTCATATACACACACACATACTGAACCAGAGACTGGAGAATCTCATGTACACACAGAACCAGAGAATGGAGAACCTCAGGTACACAAACACACAGAACCAGAGACTGGAGAACCTCATATACACACACACATACTGAACCAGAGACTGGAGAATCTCATGTACACACAGAACCAGAGGCCGGAGAACCTCAGGTACACAAACACACAGAACCAGAGACTGGAGAATCTCATATACACACACACATACTGAACCAGAGGCTGGAGAACCTCAGGTACACAAACACACACACACAGAACCAGAGACTGGAGAACCTCATATACACACACACATACTGAACCAGAGGCCGGAGAACCTCAGGTACACAAACACACACACACAGAACCAGAGACTGGAGAATCTCATATACACACACACATACTGAACCAGAGGCTGGAGAACCTCAGGTACACAAACACACACACACAGAACCAGAGACTGGAGAATCTCATATACACACACACATACTGAACCAGAGGCTGGAGAACCTCAGGTACACACAGAACCAGAGGCTGGAGAACCTCAGATACACAAACACACACACACAGAACCAGAGACTGGAGAATCTCATATACACACACACATACTGAACCAGAGACTGGAGAATCTCAGGTACACACAGAACCAGAGACTGGAGAACCTCAGGTACACAAACACACAGAACCAGAGACTGGAGAACCTCATATACACACACACATACTGAACCAGAGGCCGGAGAACCTCAGGTACACAAACACACACACACAGAACCAGAGACTGGAGAACCTCATATACACACACATACTGAACCAGAGGCTGGAGAACCTCAGGTACACAAACACACACACACAGAACCAGAGACTGGAGAACTTCATATACACACACATACTGAACCAGAGGCCGGAGAACCTCAGGTACACAAACACACACACAGACCCAGAGACTGGAGAATCTCATATACACACACACATACTGAACCAGAGGCTGGAGAACCTCAGGTACACACAGAACCAGAGGCTGGAGAACCTCAGATACACAAACACATACTGAACCAGAGACTGGAGAATCTCATGTACACACAGAACCAGAGACTGGAGAACCTCAGGTACACAAACACACAGAACCAGAGACTGGAGAATCTCATATACACACACATACTGAACCAGAGACTGGAGAACCTCAGGTACACAAACACACACACACACACAGAACCAGAGACTGGAGAACCTCATATACAGACACACATACTGAACCAGAGGCCGGAGAACCTCAGGTACACAAACACACACACACAGAACCAGAGACTGGAGAATCTCATATACACACACACATACTGAACCAGAGGCTGGAGAACCTCAGGTACACAAACACACACACAGAACCAGAGACTGGAGAACTTCATATACACACACACATACTGAACCAGAGGCCGGAGAACCTCAGGTACACAAACACACACACACAGAACCAGAGACTGGAGAATCTCATATACACACACACATACTGAACCAGAGGCTGGAGAACCTCAGGTACACACAGAACCAGAGGCTGGAGAACCTCAGATACACAAACACACACACACAGAACCAGAGACTGGAGAATCTCATGTACACACACACATACTGAACCAGAGACTGGAGAACCTCAGGTACACAAACACACACACACACAGAACCAGAGACTGGAGAACCTCATATATACACACACATACTGAACCAGAGGCTGGAGAACCTCAGGTACACAAACACACACACACAGAACCAGAGACTGGAGAATCTCATATACACACACACATACTGAACCAGAGACTGGAGAATCTCATATACACACACACATACTGAACCAGAGACTGGAGAACCTCAGGTACACAAACACACACACACAGAACCAGAGACTGGAGAACCTCATATACACACACACATACTGAACCAGAGGCTGGAGAACCTCAGGTACACAAACACACACACAGAACCAGAGACTGGAGAACCTCATGTACACACACACACACACACACAGAACCAGAGACTGGAGAACCTCATATACACACACACATACTGAACCAGAGACTGGAGAACCTCAGGTACACAAACACACACACACACAGAACCAGAGACTGGAGAACCTCATATACACACACACATACTGAACCAGAGGCCGGAGAACCTCAGGTACACAAACACACACACAGAACCAGAGACTGGAGAACCTCATATACACACACACATACTGAACCAGAGGCTGGAGAACCTCAGGTACACAAACACACACACACAGAACCAGAGACTGGAGAATCTCATATACACACACATACTGAACCAGAGGCTGGAGAACCTCAGGTACACAAACACACACACACAGAACCAGAGACTGGAGAACCTCATATACACACACACATACTGAACCAGAGGCCGGAGAACCTCAGGTACACAAACACACACACACAGAACCAGAGACTGGAGAACCTCATATACACACACACATACTGAACCAGAGGCTGGAGAACCTCAGGTACACACAAACACACACACACACAGAACCAGAGACTGGAGAACCTCAGGTACACAAACACACACACACAGAACCAGAGACTGGAGAACCTCATATACACACACACATACTGAACCAGAGACTGGAGAACCTCAGGTACACACAGAACCAGAGGCTGGAGAACCTCCGGTAGAAAATCAAACTGCCCCTGATAATTTGAAGTATGTATTGTCTTTGTTCTACTTGTTTACCTCATTGTTTTGGTTCTCCAGGCGTTTTAAAGATGAACAGATTGATATCTTGGTGGCGACAGATGTAGCAGCCAGAGGGTTGGACATTGACGGAGTCAAAACGGTGAGTTACTTCCTTAGTAGTTGCCTCGGGACTACAATTAAGTAACTGTAGAGTTAGTGTCGGGTTATTAAATGGAATCTGGCAAATTAAAACAGATTTCATAGCTGGCCCTGTCCATGGTCTCGTCGGCCAATGTAGGAATGTATCCTCTCTGTAGCTCCATCAGGAGGTGGTACCTTCAGAGGTAAAATGTCAATGAGTAACGGAGAAAGGGAAAAATATTTTATTGTGGCGAGTCATTGAGGACACCACTTATCTGTAACATGCTCATTTTGCGAGTAGTTTTGGGGGAATATTTATGAATTACATTAGGGAAACCTAATGTCATTCATAAATATTCCAAATGTTCCAGTGTCTCTAAGGCAGGAAACATTAGGGGTATTTATGTCTATTTGAAATGTTAACAAGACAGTCACTGAACCACAGCTAATTTGGCCCTAAAGTGTTACCATCCTTCAGGATAGCTAGCATTAGTGTTCTTTTACTGAAGGAAGGCTCCTCCGTATCTGAGATTGATAAAACTAAATGGAGCTTACTGTAAAACTTTGTAACAGCCTGAGCTTTTACTTCACTGAAACGGGGCCGGTGGCTGTTTGGGACTCTGTTATTAATTGAATAAATTCAGTATTTACTTCACCACAATACTTGGTGAACAGCCAGGTGTGTGGTTTTCTGTCTCTCAGTCAGGAGGTTTCCCTGACCAGAGCTACCTCACCACAGCTGCTACAGCCCATCTCTCTCTCTGCCCGTCTCTCAGGTGATAAACTTCACCATGCCGTCCACAGTGAAGCACTATGTTCATCGTGTCGGCCGGACGGCGAGAGCCGGGCGCTCAGGACGTTCGGTGTCTCTGGTCGGAGAGTCTGAGAGGAAGATGCTGAAAGAGGTGGTGAAGTCTGCCAAGAGCAGCGTGAAGGCTCGAGTTCTGCCCCCAGGTATGCACACCTGAGAGAGACGGGTGGTCTGAGTGAGTGCTCTGTATTCAGTTGGTTGCCTGTTAATCGGAAGGTCGTCGGTTCAATCCCCGGCTACATGTCGAAGTGTCCTTTGAATTGCCCCTGGCGGCTGTTCCACCAGTGAATGATTGTGTAAAAGTGCTTTGAGTGGTCGCAAAGACTCGAAAGGCGCTATACAAATACGGAGCATTTCCATTTGCAGAGCGGGTGGGTAGTTCAGAGAACCTGGGTTATTATTATTATTATTATTCCGGTTATTGTTTGGATGATTTTTGTATTTTTGTCCACTACCAAAGCTCCTGGACTGTGCTACTGTGTCCTCTTTCCTCTCCCCTCTCTCTCAACCCGATGGGCCGATGCAGATGGCCGCCCCCCCGAGTTCAGGTTCTGCTCCAGGTTTCTACCCGTTAAAGGGAGTCTTTCATGTGTGGCTCATGGGGGAAACTGTTGGGTCCCTGTAAATGATACTCACAGTACGGACTAGCCCTGCTCTATATGAGAAGTGGCGAGAGGTCACTTCTGATTGACGGGAGCGTGGCTACGCTGAAGTGAACAGAACCTCTCTACGGGCGCGTTGTGACGTAACACTCTGTTTCTCCCCAGATGTCATCCTGAAGTTCAGAGATCTGATCTCTAAACTGGAGAAAGACGTTGAAGCTGTGATGAGGCTGGAGAGAGAGGAGAGAGAGCTGGCTGCGTCTGAGGCTAAGGTACACCTGAACACCTGAGCCCCTCTCCATGGTTACCCACAGTTTAATACTGCTCTAACAGTGTAGAACAACAACCAGCTGAAGTTGAGGCAGAGGGCCCTGGTCTTTTTGGTGAACGACAGACCGGATCAGTTGATGTGTACTCTGAGCTCGGCCAGGGAGGCCATCAGGTCCAGGTTCCTGGTGTGGATTAATGCTTTTGAAGGATCAGCACACATCTGACCTGGATATGGGTCCTGGGCCTTTTGTACCTCCAGAGACCTGAGATGTAGCGATGATGCGGTTACAGATCACCTGTTCAAAAACCTGCCCCTTATTTTCATTTCATTTCAGCGCGCCACGACGGTTTGTTGCTGCGTCGCGCACCGCATGGTGAGCTCGCATGCACGCCACAGTCAAGGTAGTTGAACTTTGTGCTGAACTCAAATAGCTTCTTTTCTGAAAGCGCCTTTATGGAAGAACGTCGTCCTCTGCAGCCCTTCAGTCACTGAACATTAACTTCATGTTTCCAGAAAACGTTTCCGGGTGTAAAACACTAATCAGGAGCTTATAGACGTCCAGGACTACCAATCACCTGCATTTCAGTTATTAATAACTGGCCGAATGAAGTTATTATTCCTCTTACATTAACAATACTTACATATCATAAAAATGTAATTGTTAATGTAATTAAATATTAAAAATCAACTAGTGTTGTGAAATTACTGAATGCATAATCATTGTGAAAATGGTGAAACTGTGATTATTCCTCAGACTGTAATCGTACCAACAAAATCTGTAATGGTTGCGTCCCTGCCCCCGACAGGAAGTTCTTCTTCTAGAAGGTGTTTAGTTCACGCAGGAGGAGATGCAGACATTATCTCAGCACTGCTTCTTTGCCTTTTGCAGTCTGTATTGGTTCTTGTTCCAGGACACATGTCTCTGGTGTTGGAGTCCTCTTTGTCCCTGTAAAGTCTCTGACCACTGCTGACTGGGGCTGGCCGGTATATCGGTACAACGAGTAGACGATACCATTTCTACCGATAGACTCTGATTAATGTTTCCATAAAGTCCTGCCAGCGTTTGCTCGTCTCTCTCCCTCACCGTGAAGCCCCGCCCCACCCTCTGCCTCTCTAGCTTGCAAAATTAAACAACATGGAGGCAGACCAAGTGCCGGTCTACCCCGCTGAAGACCTGGCTTATAATAAGAAAATCAACAGTTCAGTCCAAACGCTTTGCTTCAGCGGACCGCCCAGGCGGACTAACGGCGGCGGCCCAGGCGGACTAACGGCCGCCCAGGTAGATTAGACACATTTTTTGCAGAGAAAACACCGAGTCGTTACAAGTCGCGACACGCTGGATAATTTACAAGCACTGATGAGGTAAAGCGACAGCAGCACAGCAGTCAGATGTTATTCTTTAGCTACCACGTCGGTTTTATTTTGAAAGGCTACGTCGACAGCACGCCTTCTCGACATGCGCCGCTGCTGCCGCCGCTGCGAAAGCCTAGTTCACACTACACAATTTTTAGCTCGATTTGGCGCTCGTCAATCGACGGCCAGTCTTTAGGCGTGAACTACTCAACGACGCATTAAAATGGCTCCCCGGCTCATTTCTGACACATCACAGATGCCAGCCAGATATCCAGCACGCCAAATATCTGGAAGAGTCTGCTGACTCGACATCCACATCCAGCCAATGAGAGCAGGCAGCTCTCTCTGTAGCTCAGACTGCTGCTACCTGCGTGTGCTGATCCATCCTTTCACCCAGAGTCATTGTCTTTAGAATAACAAACAGCTGTTTCCTGTGTAGGGTCGCGTCATTTCCTGTTTCACATTTCAGGTGTGTTTTCTTGACCGAACGTGGTTTGGAGACCGCTGTCAGCCGCTGTCAGCTCCTGTAGCGCGTGACCCCCCGTCATCGATCAGTCACGTAGCGTGAACACCACGACGACTTCAAGACTCCCGTCACAAGACGGCAAGTCGTGTAGTGTGAACGGCACCGTGGTCGGCTGACGCTGAAAGTCGTGGAGTCTGCACGAGGCTGAACGGAACCGCGGGAGGAAAAGTGCAGCGACTTCATACAACGTAGCCTGCTGCTGATGGACAAAGTCACCGGAGCGGACACGCAGGGAGGGAGCGAGAAGGAAGGAAACGCAGGCTGACTCGTTCGCAGCAGAGAGACGTTTGGTCTGAGGAGGTCGGGCCGACGTTAAGCCGGCATCGTGATTGTAAAACCCCGCCCCCCCAGCAAAAGAAGTGTCATATGTTCTCATTCTAGCACCCTGTGAAAGCAGCTTTTAACGACCACGAACATTCTTCTCATTGTTTTTAAGCTGCCTCGGAGTTCTCTTCTCCACACTCACGCACACCTGCACCCCAGGTAAACACCCCGGCTTGCCCCGCCTCTCTCCGCCTCTCTCCGCCTCTCTCCCCCAGTCTGCTCTATTTTCACCTAAAAGACTGAGAACTCGTCTTTTTCCGTATATTTCCACCCGCGATGCGTTATCACGGCAGCAGGTGAGTCGGCTTATCAAAGACGCAGCCTATCGAACAAGTGAAAGCAACATCTGTGTGTTCACCGCTGGTCCGTGCCTAAAATATCCACGTAAGTTAATAGTCCACCAATTTGTTTTACCGAGTGAAGTCTGTGTGAGAACTCATCCACATAAGATGAGTGCTGCCCCCCCGCCCGCGCACCCGATGACATCGTCCATCCCCATGTTTCGTTGTAGACGCCGATTCAGTCAGCGAGTGACACTTAAATAAGGTGGAGAATAAAGTAGGTTAGAATTAAAACGGTCTGCCAATAATAAGATTTTACTACAGTACCACTCCTGCGCCATCTTCAGTTCAAAGCCTCATACCTTTCACATTTTAATACTTGTCCACATAATAAATACTACAGTTAGTACTTCAATGTGAGAAGGTAATTGACTTGGACTGGAATCCGCTCCTGGATTCTGGGTTCAGTACTCCACTGTTGAACCTCCTGTAATCCTCTGTAAAGTCCTGGAGACGGGCTTCTGGTGTAAATACGCACCTTAACTACAGTCGGCTCCTCACTACTGCTAAGATCACACTGTAAAATGCATTGTGGTGAAGACTCCAATCATGTTTCTAACACGAGCTGAGAGATGTGGAGCTGTTGTAACTGTTTAAAGCAGGATATTTAATGTGTGTCTTTCTGTTTGTGTGTGCAGTTGAGTGTGGCTCAGAAGCGTCTCGATAGCTCCGCCTCCTCCTGTCAATCACAGAGAGTCTGGTTTCAGACTCAACAAGAGCGGAAACAGAGCCGTGGTGAGTATTAATAAACACGCTAGTACTACTGCGAGTACTCCAGACTCCAGTATTCTGACTCGTCCTCATCTCCATCAGCGTCGAAGGCTCTGCAGGAGTTCGATCTCGCTCTGAGAGGAAAGAAGAGGAGAGAGAAGTTCCTGAAGGACGGCGGGAAGAAGGAGCTGACGGTAAGAAGTGATCCATCAGTCAGCGCTCTGCGTTCCCTCCCTAAATGTCTGTCTGAAGTTTGTTGGAGGCAGCGGTTAGTTCAGCACGTGAGGAACTAAAGAGAGGAAAACTCTATAGAAACGTCTAAAGGTGTTAAAGCAACACTGAATCGGGTTGGTCCTGTTCACACATTAACAGATCAGAAGATGTTTCTGATGGAGGACAAAATCCTCCTTCTGCATCACCGTTTCTCTGAGATGAACATCAAGTTAAAGGATCTTTTTCTCACATGTTGGTGTTGAAATGACTCGTAGGTACAAAGAGTTTTGATGCTTCAGCCGGCCTCTGCCACATATTCCTTCAGCTCAGACTGTTAGACCGGGAGTCTGACGGCATCGTGGAAAGGATCCCTACCTGGGACTCCGGTGACCCCCTCTGTTTTTAACAGGAAGCTGAAGTCTCGTGACATTAAGAGAGTAGCAGCTCCTCCACGAACCACCGGCGTCTCCACAGGGACCGTCCCGTTCATCTGTTCTGGAGTCGCTGACTCTTTCTGCAGTCCGGCTTTCTGCTTGTTGTACTTCCTGAGCTGAGCAGGAAGTTCATCCTCTGGCCAGCTTGATGATGGAGTTGATGTTGGTCACCCATGTTGGGTCCTGGCAGTAAGCTGAAGGATTCCACAGCAGCCCCAGTGTTCAGGACGGGGAAGTAGTGAAGTGGGCGTGTGTGAAGGATCACCTGTCGGCCCTTTGAACCGTCCTGATTGGTATCGTCTGTAGACTTCAGGAGTTAGACTCACCTGCCTCATGAACACCTGGCTGCTGTTGAACTAGTCCTTCAACACCGTGGTGAAAACAGGTTGTACGAGACGAATTAGTGAGTTAGAACAGAGAACTTTAAAAAAGCTGGATGAAACCTCACGTTTCATCACAACCCTTCAGTTTCACGACGACTTAAAACTAAAGTTCAGCTGCTGGACTCTGAAGAGTGAGATGATATTTTTGTCTGTCCGTCAGCCCGAGGAGCGCGCTCAGTTCGAGATCCTCAAGGCTCAGATGTTCGCCGAGCGGGCGGCCAAGAGAGAGAGACGACCGAAGAGAGCGAGAGCTATGGTGGAGGACGAGACGCCGAGCACAGGTAAAGTTCACCAGCACTGACAAATGCACAGAGACGCTACACTGCTAACAGCTAGGCTAACGGGAACTCTGTCTGTGCAGCAGCCAATCAGAAACGAGCGAAAGGAGGCAAGAAGTCTGTGTTTGACAAAGAGCTGACCAACACGAGCAGCAAGGCTCTGAAGCACTACAGAGCTGGGTGAGTCCGTCTCACCTGTCTGTCTCTCTGTCTCACCTGTCTGTCTGTCTCTCTGTCTCACCTGTCTGTCTCTCTGTCTCACCTGTCTGTCTGTCTCATCTGTCTGTCTCACCTGTCTGTCTCTCTGTCTCACCTGTCTGTCTGTCTCATCTGTCTGTCTCACCTGTCTGTCTCTCTGTCTCACCTGTCTGTCTGTCTCATCTGTCTGTCTCACCTGTCTGTCTCTCTGTCTCACCTGTCTGTCTGTCTCATCTGTCTGTCTCACCTATCTGTCTCGTCTGTCTGTCTCTCTGTCTCGTCTGTCTCGTCTGTCTGTCTCTCTGTACACCTGTCTGTCTGTCTCTCTGTACGTCTGTCTGTCTGTCTCACCTGTCTGTCTCGTCTTACCTGTCTGTCTCGTTACAGACCGTCCTTCACAGACAGGAAGCGTCTTGGTTTGGACAGGAAGCGTCCCGGCAGCTCCAGGTAAGGCGTTACCGTCTCTCTCTCTGGGCGTCCCACATAGACTTGAAACAGAGTTAAGATGGCCGACACTCTGTTCTGTCCGCAGGTTCAAGAAGAAGTGAGAGCCAAGATAACTGCCTGGAACTGCAGTGTCGTCCAGCAGGAAACGTCCTCATGGTCTTGTTTTCACTCTGTAAATCTGTTCTAGTTGTTTTGCTCTTTAAAGAAGTTATATAAATAAAGTTGCAGTCTGTTTGAAAACCTGCGTGTAGTTTCTTTCTTCAGGCTGAGTAATAAATAATGACTAATAAATATGGCCAGATTTCTAGAAATGAGAGCTGCTCCTTCCCAAGTGGGATGGATGCCGTCTCTCCGAATCAGACCAGGTCTTCCCCAGAAAGTCTGCCAATGATCTACAAAGCCCACATCGTTTGCTGGACACCACCTCGACAACCAGCGGCGGAATGACGACATGCGGCTATACATGTCATCACTGGTCAGATTTGGCAGGGGTCCAGAGAAAACTACGGTGTCCGACATTGTTTTTGCATATGTACACACCGACTTCCCTTTTAAAGATGGTGGTATGGCCGTAAGCCACAGGGGCCCGCAGGAGCATCCCTTTTAAAGATGCTGTAACCTCGGCTTTGTCTAAAGAGGTAGCAACAGTAGATGTCGAGGAAACACAACCAATGCTGCAACATGTCCTCATACCTACACGACAAAAGAGGTCCCTTGTCAGTTGTCCCAAAACCACATAAGTTGAAGGGACAGGCGTACCGGACCCTTAACAATGTGACATAAATCACACGAAGTGAGTCACCTGACTTGAGTCACATGAGGTTAAACGCGTGGGTAACGTTGTGAAGCAGTCATCCTTTGGTTAGGTTCAGGCAACAAAACTACTGGGTTAGGTTTAGGAAAAGGGTTGGGCTAAAAATAAGTAAGTAAATGAGTGCAAATGACACATTTCAAAGTGCAGAGACGAGCTGCTCTCTTTTTCAAAACTGTCTACCCGCTGAAGCAGCGGCAAAGTGAAAAAGCTTACAGCACCTGGTATTCCCAGGCGGTCTCCCATCCAAGTACTAACCAGGCCCGACCCTGCTTAGCTTCCGAGATCGGACGAGATCGGGCGCGTTCAGGGTGGTATGGCCGTAAGCCACAGGGGCCCACAGGGGCCCGCAGGAGCATCCCTTTTAAAGATGCTGTAACCTCGGCTTTGTCTAAAGAGGTAGCAACAGTAGATGTCGAGGAAACACAACCAATGCTGCAACATGTCCTCATACCTACACGACAAAAGAGGTCCCTTGTCAGTTGTCCCAAAACCACATAAGTTGAAGGGACAGGCGTACCGGACCCTTAACAATGTGACATAAATCACATGAAGTGAGTCACCTGACTTGAGTCACATGAGGTTAAACGCGTGGGTAACGTTGTGAAGCAGTCATCCTTTGGTTAGGTTCAGGCAACAAAACTACTGGGTTAGGTTTAGGAAAAGGGTTGGGCTAAAAATAAGTAAGTAAATGAGTGCAAATGACACATTTCAAAGTGCAGAGACGAGCTGCTCTCTTTTTCAAAACTGTCTACCCGCTGAAGCAGCGGCAAAGTGAAAAAGCTTACAGCACCTGGTATTCCCAGGCGGTCTCCCATCCAAGTACTAACCAGGCCCGACCCTGCTTAGCTTCCGAGATCGGACGAGATCGGGCGCGTTCAGGGTGGTATGGCCGTAAGCCACAGGGGCCCGCAGGAGCATCCCTTTTAAAGATGCTGTAACCTCGGCTTTGTCTAAAGAGGTAGCAACAGTAGATGTCGAGGAAACACAACCAATGCTGCAACATGTCCTCATACCTACACGACAAAAGAGGTCCCTTGTCAGTTGTCCCAAAACCACATAAGTTGAAGGGACAGGCGTACCGGACCCTTAACAATGTGACATAAATCACATGAAGTGAGTCACCTGACTTGAGTCACATGAGGTTAAACGCGTGGGTAACGTTGTGAAGCAGTCATCCTTTGGTTAGGTTCAGGCAACAAAACTACTGGGTTAGGTTTAGGAAAAGGGTTGGGCTAAAAATAAGTAAGTAAATGAGTGCAAATGACACATTTCAAAGTGCAGAGACGAGCTGCTCTCTTTTTCAAAACTGTCTACCCGCTGAAGCAGCGGCAAAGTGAAAAAGCTTACAGCACCTGGTATTCCCAGGCGGTCTCCCATCCAAGTACTAACCAGGCCCGACCCTGCTTAGCTTCCGAGATCGGACGAGATCGGGCGTGTTCAGGGTGGTATGGCCGTAAGCCACAGGGGCCCGCAGGAGCATCCCTTTTAAAGATGCTGTAACCTCGGCTTTGTCTAAAGAGGTAGCAACAGTAGATGTCGAGGAAACACAACCAATGCTGCAACATGTCCTCATACCTACACGACAAAAGAGGTCCCTTGTCAGTTGTCCCAAAACCACATAAGTTGAAGGGACAGGCGTACCGGACCCTTAACAATGTGACATAAATCACATGAAGTGAGTCACCTGACTTGAGTCACATGAGGTTAAACGCGTGGGTAACGTTGTGAAGCAGTCATCCTTTGGTTAGGTTCAGGCAACAAAACTACTGGGTTAGGTTTAGGAAAAGGGTTGGGCTAAAAATAAGTAAGTAAATGAGTGCAAATGACACATTTCAAAGTGCAGAGACGAGCTGCTCTCTTTTTCAAAACTGTCTACCCGCTGAAGCAGCGGCAAAGTGAAAAAGCTTACAGCACCTGGTATTCCCAGGCGGTCTCCCATCCAAGTACTAACCAGGCCCGACCCTGCTTAGCTTCCGAGATCGGACGAGATCGGGCGCGTTCAGGGTGGTATGGCCGTAAGCCACAGGGGCCCGCAGGAGCATCCCTTTTAAAGATGCTGTAACCTCGGCTTTGTCTAAAGAGGTAGCAACAGTAGATGTCGAGGAAACACAACCAATGCTGCAACATGTCCTCATACCTACACGACAAAAGAGGTCCCTTGTCAGTTGTCCCAAAACCACATAAGTTGAAGGGACAGGCGTACCGGACCCTTAACAATGTGACATAAATCACATGAAGTGAGTCACCTGACTTGAGTCACATGAGGTTAAACGCGTGGGTAACGTTGTGAAGCAGTCATCCTTTGGTTAGGTTCAGGCAACAAAACTACTGGGTTAGGTTTAGGAAAAGGGTTGGGCTAAAAATAAGTAAGTAAATGAGTGCAAATGACACATTTCAAAGTGCAGAGACGAGCTGCTCTCTTTTTCAAAACTGTCTACCCGCTGAAGCAGCGGCAAAGTGAAAAAGCTTACAGCACCTGGTATTCCCAGGCGGTCTCCCATCCAAGTACTAACCAGGCCCGACCCTGCTTAGCTTCCGAGATCGGACGAGATCGGGCGCGTTCAGGGTGGTATGGCCGTAAGCCACAGGGGCCCGCAGGAGCATCCCTTTTAAAGATGCTGTAACCTCGGCTTTGTCTAAAGAGGTAGCAACAGTAGATGTCGAGGAAACACAACCAATGCTGCAACATGTCCTCATACCTACACGACAAAAGAGGTCCCTTGTCAGTTGTCCCAAAACCACATAAGTTGAAGGGACAGGCGTACCGGACCCTTAACAATGTGACATAAATCACATGAAGTGAGTCACCTGACTTGAGTCACATGAGGTTAAACGCGTGGGTAACGTTGTGAAGCAGTCATCCTTTGGTTAGGTTCAGGCAACAAAACTACTGGGTTAGGTTTAGGAAAAGGGTTGGGCTAAAAATAAGTAAGTAAATGAGTGCAAATGACACATTTCAAAGTGCAGAGACGAGCTGCTCTCTTTTTCAAAACTGTCTACCCGCTGAAGCAGCGGCAAAGTGAAAAAGCTTACAGCACCTGGTATTCCCAGGCGGTCTCCCATCCAAGTACTAACCAGGCCCGACCCTGCTTAGCTTCCGAGATCGGACGAGATCGGGCGTGTTCAGGGTGGTATGGCCGTAAGCCACAGGGGCCCGCAGGAGCATCCCTTTTAAAGATGCTGTAACCTCGGCTTTGTCTAAAGAGGTAGCAACAGTAGATGTCGAGGAAACACAACCAATGCTGCAACATGTCCTCATACCTACACGACAAAAGAGGTCCCTTGTCAGTTGTCCCAAAACCACATAAGTTGAAGGGACAGGCGTACCGGACCCTTAACAATGTGACATAAATCACATGAAGTGAGTCACCTGACTTGAGTCACATGAGGTTAAACGCGTGGGTAACGTTGTGAAGCAGTCATCCTTTGGTTAGGTTCAGGCAACAAAACTACTGGGTTAGGTTTAGGAAAAGGGTTGGGCTAAAAATAAGTAAGTAAATGAGTGCAAATGACACATTTCAAAGTGCAGAGACGAGCTGCTCTCTTTTTCAAAACTGTCTACCCGCTGAAGCAGCGGCAAAGTGAAAAAGCTTACAGCACCTGGTATTCCCAGGCGGTCTCCCATCCAAGTACTAACCAGGCCCGACCCTGCTTAGCTTCCGAGATCGGACGAGATCGGGCGTGTTCAGGGTGGTATGGCCGTAAGCCACAGGGGCCCGCAGGAGCATCCCTTTTAAAGATGCTGTAACCTCGGCTTTGTCTAAAGAGGTAGCAACAGTAGATGTCGAGGAAACACAACCAATGCTGCAACATGTCCTCATACCTACACGACAAAAGAGGTCCCTTGTCAGTTGTCCCAAAACCACATAAGTTGAAGGGACAGGCGTACCGGACCCTTAACAATGTGACATAAATCACATGAAGTGAGTCACCTGACTTGAGTCACATGAGGTTAAACGCGTGGGTAACGTTGTGAAGCAGTCATCCTTTGGTTAGGTTCAGGCAACAAAACTACTGGGTTAGGTTTAGGAAAAGGGTTGGGCTAAAAATAAGTAAGTAAATGAGTGCAAATGACACATTTCAAAGTGCAGAGACGAGCTGCTCTCTTTTTCAAAACTGTCTACCCGCTGAAGCAGCGGCAAAGTGAAAAAGCTTACAGCACCTGGTATTCCCAGGCGGTCTCCCATCCAAGTACTAACCAGGCCCGACCCTGCTTAGCTTCCGAGATCGGACGAGATCGGGCGTTCAGGGTGGTATGGCCGTAAGCCACAGGGGCCCGCAGGAGCATCCCTTTTAAAGATGCTGTAACCTCGGCTTTGTCTAAAGAGGTAGCAACAGTAGATGTCGAGGAAACACAACCAATGCTGCAACATGTCCTCATACCTACACGACAAAAGAGGTCCCTTGTCAGTTGTCCCAAAACCAC